AATGATTCCAAATGCTGGCGAGGATGTGGAGAAAGGGGAACGCTCATTCACTGCTGGTGGGATTGCAAAATTGTGCAAGCCCTATGGAAGACAGTATGGAAAGCTCTTAAAAAACTAAAAATGAAAATGCCATACGATCCAGTAATACCACTCCTTGGCATATACCCAAAGGACTCATCCTATTATAAAGACACTTGTAGAACCATGTTTGTTGCTACTCTTTTCACAATAGCTAAGAGATGGAAGCAACCTAAGTGCCCCTTAACTGACAAGTGGTTAACAAAAATGTGGTATATTTACATAATGCAGTTCTTTTCAGCAGTAAAGAAAGATGAAATAATGAAATTTGCAGGTAAATGGATGGATCTAGAAACTATTATACTAAGAGAAATAACACAGACTCAGAAAAACAAACAACGTATGTTCTCCCTCGTATGTGGATCCTAGCACTAAATCCTTTTAAATTCCATGTCCTTTTAATAAGATGATACTGTACAGAAGTCTCTTCTGCATAAAATAACTACCATCATCTTCACTTCAGCAGTGCCTGATTGCTAAACATAGTCACAATTGGGTTTGCTGTTGGTTGTGCTCCTTCATTAAAGGAGGGGTAAGCAGGGTCATTGGACCCTTAAGGGAGTATCCAGCCACTCTTTTCAGCCAACTGTATGTAATTTGGCCCTAATAACACATGGTCCCCTGGATTTGGAGAGGGCTAAAGTATACAGTCTGGTGCAGGCTAGGAAGAGAAGGCTTGACCCATGCTGGGTAAAGGCTTTCCAGTGTGCATACCGTCAGGTCACTCATACATTTCAGCAACCCCTCAGTTATCTCAATAAGTAAGCTCAGAAAATTCATTGGATTCACTTTAATCAAACATTGGTTCGGCACTAGAACCTTAAAAGGGAATAAGCATTGCTTAATATCCCCAGGAAAAGAAATCTCAAAACAGATGGAAAAATTATTTGTTAATGTTATTATGTCTCATAATTATTTTAAAAAAAGAAAATGAGAATGTAAAAGATGTTAAAAGGATATGGGAATGGAAATATTTTCCAAAAATAGAAAAAAATGAGAAAGCCAAAGCAAGTGATGAAGGTCTGTGTAGGTTTGTTAATGATATATAAAAGGATGAGAGAAAAATAATATACACATAATCTTAAAATTTCTAAAGTCATAGTTTAATCAAGTAGTTTAAGGAACAAAATATATATCTAGTTAAGGTTTATCTGAGAATATTTGTTTTTTTTAACCAAGCTTTATCTACATAGCACATGGTAATTGAAAGTACCAGACTGGTGGAACTAACATTATTGGATGTTTAGCAGCCATACTTTGAGGCTATTAATCTGGTCAGAGGGACTTAAAGGACACTTTTTGCCCCTTTTCCCTCCTATGTCAACTAAGTTCCAGGGGACTATGGAGCATCTCTCAAAATGTCCTGTAACTGTGGTGAGTCACCTGTCCTCTTGTTCAGGAAGGTCATGGAGACACCACCAGATGGTCTTGAACCAGGGTCCAGTCTACAAAGAGGAGGGTCAACTCAGAGGAAACATTTCCTCCATGCTTCCAAGTGAAGCCAGCCATGGCCGAGTAGGACCTTTGACTTATCTTCACATAGATGGAAATGGTAAAAGAAAGGAGCCAGGGGTTCCTCCCAAGCCCATGTGACCTCTGTGGAACAGATCCTCAAACGACTCCTAAGTCAGTTTATTTGGGCCAATTGTATGGTCTTAAACACCCAAAAGCAAAATATAATCATAGAGTAAATTGATCTTACACTTCTCAGACATTAGGCTTAAGTCCAGATAAAAAGTTATTTAGACAATTATCTCACATTGATGATTTTGTTCTGAATCAGAAAGTGCTGCTCAGATATAAGACTTCAAATCTTGGTCTCCAATACTGTAGTGCCCACCTGTAGCTAAGGGAGACAACCAGCTATTGTTTTAAAATGATGGATAAATTTGTTTTCTCCCCTATCTAGAAGCCTTTGAGAGGGAACTGACACTGATTCTAACCACTCCAACAGCTATCAAAATGCCTGAAAGCAAATCCTGAATCCATCACTCTGGAGTCCAGCCTTGGCAGACAAAAGAAAAATGAGGAGAAACACAATAGTGATGCTTTTGGAATCTTTTGTCAAGAAATTCCAATGGACTCTCATATGAACATTTGAAATTTGCTCTGTTCTGAGTTGTTTCTAGTTCCCTGTCTGGAATTTGTGATGCTAATTACTCTTGCCTTTACTTCTCCCTCACATCTCCTATTCACCAGTCGAGGACTTTCTTTTCCCCCTAAAGATAAGAGTTATGCAATTTGGGAGTCTTCTAAATAGACCCATTGAAGGGGTACTCCAATTGTCTCACCCTGCATCCCTGTTCAGCATGAAAGAAGCCAGAGCAGTCTGCCTCCCAATTCCCTGTCCGCAAGCTGGGTAACCTCTTCAGAGGATGGTGTGATAAGAATAGGAGGTAGGAATTGACTACGCAGTTAATGTAAAAAGACCCCAAAGAGAAGTAGCCAGCGTCTTGGCTAAAAGTCAAACTGTCCTTGGGCCTCTGAGTAACACACTCTGTTCCAAAGGTCAAAAATGTGGAAAGTGTTTGGGAGCTCTTATCTAATCCTTAAAAGATTTTAGGGTTACCTCTTCAGAGGGGGGAATGTTAGAGTAGTAAAAAAGCCCATTAAAAAAAAAAAAGAAGATGAGTATATGAAGTTATCAGAAAAAAGTGATGGGGAGATATGGAAGGAGTTGGACAGGAAGGAGTGGGTATGGATTTGATCAAAACACCTTATATGCTTATATCCCTGTATGAAATTCTCAGTAAATTATTCAAAAAAAAATCTCTCTGGAGAGAAAGCATGAGTCACATAGATTTTGTTTTGACAAACATTAATTCCTGAAACCCAAGTTTCATTGACTGAGTTCAGAGTAGATATAGGAATGGTGCTCTTTTTTCTCCCAGTGTTCTAGAAACTAGTCAAAAGTTTATCAAAAAAGCAACTGCATAGCATTTTAGGCTCCATTATGGGAAACAAATGTATCAGGAACTTGGAAATAGGCAAAGAGTAAAAATGGTCAGAGTGGAAAATAGACTTCTGAGTAAGAGCTATCAAAATGGACATGGGGTAGTTTTTCTGATTCAGAGAAGTTAACGTGAATAACCAGTGTTTTACAATAAATGAAGAGTTCATATTTAAAGCATGAGCTACAATCAGATTACACAGCAAGAACACTGGCACAGAGTGGTGGGCTGCAAGTACAGATGTGTGCTTTAAGACCTAAGTTCCCCTTTCCTGCCCAAGCACCGCACTCATTCCTCCACCTCACCAAAGGCCCTGAACAATTAATCGTATTTTCATAGTTATATAATGTAGAGTTTAACTGACCCGTAGATGTTCACATCTTAGTTTTCTCTAAAACTTGCTAATTTTGTGAAGGCAGATATAGTCATCATCTTCTACCCTCAAAAATCACCTAAAACTGTAAGCAGCATATGTTAGGTTCTCAAGTATAAATTGAGTAGCCAAAACTTTTTTATTATTATTACAGATAGGAAACTTTAGAAATGAACCGGGTACCATATAGAGCCCAACTACCTAGGAGGGTGACAGGGCTAAAGATGTTTAAATACTATCTAATCTCAAAGTTGGCAACCTTTATCAGATTAAACTTTTTTTCCTTCAAGATGATCATATTTGCTGCATTTACTGAACATGAATGACCTTATAAACACAAAGAGCTTTATAAAGTTGCTGTTAGCATCACCAAACTGTAGGTAAGAAAGGTTAAATAGCTTGTGCAAGATTACAAGCAAGGAACTGGTGAACTCAGTTTTGAATGAAAAGCCGTAACAAGCTAAAATGTAAGTAAATACAAATTTTTATATAGCAGAATATGCAAATTTGCCTTAATTCTGTCAGGTTTTAATAGTAGTCATAATTCACTAACACTACTGAAGAGCACTTCAATTTATATGCAAACCAATCTGTACGGGGACATGGGGGATAAATAAGAAAGAGCAAAAGAAAATCACAAAACTAAATACAGCAAGCAGACTGCTAGGATCCAGTGTAGGAATAATGGTTTCACCAGGGATCTCATAGTATACCACGAAAGCCTATGGTATATATGTAATGTCAACTGGCTCAATCCTGGGAGACATCCCAGAGGACGTAGACCTTGGCTGAGTTCTGCAGAACAAGTGTGAACTGGGCAAACAGAGCAGAAAAAGCATTCAGGACAAAGAGTCCAGCACTTGCAAGAACAAGCAGATACCACATTCCCTAACTCAGCTGTAGAAACTGAAAGGTTAATCTCATAAAAGAAATAAATGGAATACTGGTCACTATGAGACAGAGGAGAGGGTTCCACCTCTCCAGGGACATTGGGCAGTGTTGAACAATGTTCAGATCACTATTAATGCTTAGGATATGTTCTATAGATTCTTACTATAGGCACTTCTGATTTTCAATTGCCTCAATGGGACAAATGAACTCCCTAATTAGCAGCTGTTTGACACTCCCTTGTTACCCTGGCTGCCTTGAGTAAAAAGGACCATAAATCAAACAAGCCAGCCAGAGTACCCTTATGCCAGCACCAGCCATTGTGCACACTCTATGGACACCTTGGGAAAAGTACAGCTGACTGTCCTGAATTCCACAGATGAAATCTTGGTGAGGGCTGTTTCAAACAGTCTACACTGCACTTTATTTATTAATCTTTCTTTTTATGTGCATGAGTGTTTTGCCTGCATATACATTAAGTGCACTCATGTCTTATAATGCCCGCAGAGGTCAGAAAAGGGTGTTGGATTCCCTGGAACTAGAATTACAGACAGTTGTTAGCCGCCATGTGAGTGCTGGGAGCCCAATCTGGGTCCTCTGCAAGAGCAGCCAGTGCTTTTAACTGCTGAGTCATCTCCAGACCACTACCCACCACCACACTTTTTATCACAAGAATTAATGATAGCTAGATGACCCCCTGCCATTCTTACCTAAATCGTCTGGTGGTCTAGAACAGAGCTGCTGTGACTGGTGCTAAAGAGGTTGTCAGGCTCAGTAGGTAAATCAGCTCCAAGACACTTGTCTGTGTTGCCTCCTCCGGTGTTACAAAATTGGGCTCACTAAGGTAGGAATATCTGCAAGACCATCCTTTGCTACACAGCAAGTTGCAGGCCAATACATGAGAACCTACGTCAACATAAACACAAAAAAAAACCATAAAAGCTGCTGCTGAGTGGTCTGCTCTTGCCTGCTTGTAGAAGCAGTGTGGTGCCAGCAGTAAAGGCAGCAGAGAGAGGGGCAGCAACAGCAGAAGCAGCAACAGCAGTCAGCAGGCTGAGCTGGGTAAGCAGCAGCTGAAGAAAGAGCAGATGAACAGTTCAGGGAAAGGCAGGAAGAAAGGCAAAAGGACACAGACTCAGCAAGACAGGGCAGAGAGCTGAAGCTGAAGAGGGACACAGAGTGAGGGAAGACAACCAGCAAGCCCTAGTCAGCCCAAAGTTCCACAGAGCTGTCACATCTTGAGGGTCAAAGGCCAAAGGTTTCAGACACCTCAAGCAAAGAGCTGTAACACTGGACTGTTAAGGGCCAAGGAATCAGGGTTCTAGACCTACACAGGAGCTATAACACCTCTAGACTAGATACTCCAGGCCTGAACAAGGATTGTCACACTAGGGGGCACCTCCTGCTGCTGCTCTCACCAGCCTGCTGCCCTTGCTTCCTGCTGGGTCACCCAGGATGTGAAGACCAGTACTTGAAGAGCTTCCCCTTGTCCAACACAATTTCTACCTGGGTAGGGCAGAAGGCTCTCAGTCAGCTGACTTTAACTACTAGAGACCACAGGGCACAGAGGATGAGGCACTGAAAAAAGTTAGCTAAGGGCCACAAAGTGGGTAAGACTTAGTTCTATTTTTCTGTAGTACAGTAGGGTAACCATATTGTGACAAGCTATGCTCTAGGTGAAAATAAAAGAGTGTAAAACTTCTCACCACATAGCACTGATTACTGTTGGAGGAACTGGAACTGTATGTTACCCTGAATTGATCAGTGTACTTGTATGCGCATTATGTAATATATTATAGTACTGTGAGGAAATGACTTTTACAGTATGGCCTTTTTAATTTAGACTAATGACTTTCACCTAACCTTGGAACCAGAAAGTACTGTTTATAATGTAAACAAGCTCCTTGAGCCATGTGCTCCAGTGACCTAGGCATATGATCTTAATCTTTCAGAACCCCACCTTGCCCTCCACCCAAGGCAGTGAATGGATGTGGGTGTGCATGGTTAACACAGCAAAGCACTGAAGCAGCATGCTTATATCATTGGAAGCAATAAAAAAAATTGAGACATCTGTTGGTAATTGTGTGTGATATTCTAGGCACAGGGATTAAAAGGGAAGATTTTTCTGATAAGGGTGGGTCCTGATTTCCACTTCCCCATCTCATGCTAGAGAGACTGTTTCAATAAGACTGAGCAAAGCCTGGGCTCAAGAGCACAGTTCCGAAACATCTGAAGGAATGGGTGCCTGGCAGTTCGGGTCCACTCTTGCCGAATGCTGAGTCAGGCTGTTTCTTTATTCAGGCATAACTGTAATGTGGCCTAGAAACATTCCAGTGCTGTTCTCCACAAAAATTGTCAATATAACATTTCATTAAAAGTGATAATGAAAAGAGCAAGAATTATGAGGGCACATGACTTGCAAGAGGTAAAGTAGTGAGACATGAGGTTAGATATGAGAGGAGGGAACTACATTCTAAGTCCAGGAGTAAAACAGATCATTAAATAATTTGAAGCAGAGTTATAACAGATAAAAAGTACCTTTTCATTTGTTTTTGGTTTTTGAGACAACACCAGCTGGCCTGGTACTCACTATGTAAACAAACCAGGCTGGTGTCAATAGTACCTGCCTCTAAAAATGCATTTTAAAAAGATCAGTTCAGGGGTAGTTCAAAGAATGGGTTAGACAGGGGAGAGGAGGGACAGTGGAAGTAGTGAAATTGGCTACTAGGATCACATAGAAACTATAAAATATATTTTAAGCCAATGAAAATAAATCTCGTCTATGAGTGAAACACTCAAAAAAGAAAAAAAAAAAAACACGAAAAATGAAGGCATTAGAATGCCAGAATAGCAAGAGAACAGTACGAAGAAAAATGACCACATGTAAATTGAATACTTCACTTGCCCAAGATGTGCTAAGCAGACTGCTTCACATGTAGGTTACTTTCTAAACAATCAGAGCTTATCCTTCCAAGTACCAAAATTAATGTAGACTAATTTGGAAAAATCCTTTTATAAAATGTTCTCTTTTTTTCCCCTTCCTTCCTTCCTAATCTGAATACAAATAGCCTGAACAAAATTTAACCATTCCTAAACAACACAGAGGTAGCACATTAAACTGATTAGACCCATAAAACATCACTTCTTAATTCTTGCCGGTCACTGGACGTGGACAATCATTACCCAGTGGACCTGGGTTTTCTCTTCTACACAATAATAACCTTTGCAAACCAAAGCTGTGGTAATGTTCAGAGAACGGACCCTTTCTCTTCCTTTTCCCTTTTTTAAACTTGGACCCAAGGACTCACCCTGCTGCAGCTTTCTCACTCATCTTCTCTTTACATTCTTAAAATCTTTCTTCTTTTTTAAATAATCATCCTGAATTAACCTAGTCCAAAAATTACTTCCAGGCTTCCTGAGTGGAACAGAAGCAATTTTACAGAACCTTTCAAGCCCTATCTATTCCTTGTAGAATTTCTAGAAATCACCATCAAAGTAATCATGAATTGAGAACTACGAAGCCAGTGTCCAATTTGAATTGAAAATGTCCCCCATAGGCTCATGTATTTGAGCACTTGTTACTGGGTTCGGGGTGCTGTTTGAGGAGGTTGTGGAACCTTTAGGAGGCAGAACTTAACTGAAGGAACTGGGCTTGGGCTTTGAGGGTTTAGAGCCTCCACCTGCTTCCTGTTCTTGCTGTTTCCTGCCTGTGGATAGAAATATGATCAGCTGATTCCCTGTTGCCATGCATCCCCTACCATTATGGACCCTTGCTCTGGAACACTCACCAAAACGAACCATTTCTTCCCTAAGTTGCTTTTAATCATCGTATTTTATCACAGTAATAGAAAAGCAACGAAAACAACCAGAGACCAGAGACAAGCGGCATCCAGCTGAGTCCTGAGGAGCAGGATGGTTACTTCAGCCTTCCATACTCAGGTTCATTCTCATTCATTTGTGTACATCAAACAAAATGAGAGAAAAAAAGCCATTTTCTCACAGATATATTGAGGTGCTTGGAAAAGGAATAACTAAACTACTAATACACATGGTTGTTGAGTAAATGGGGGGAAACAAAAAACCCAAGAATACCCAGCTGTTAAAAAATTACAAATACGATCCTGTTCTTACTGTACGGTGAAGGCATCGAACACATTTTAAAAGCACACAAGAGATTCTGTAGTTTGCTCCTTTAACCATAACTAACAAATAGCCCCCCCCACTACTCCGGGAACCTCATTCATCCACAGGAGAAACACTACACGCACTGGATGACAGGGAAACTTTGACTTTACCCCCAAAGCAGACACAATTTGGTTATGGTAACTCAGTAATCAGGCAACTCCCACTAACCTCAAATTCAGTGTCACCTATTATGACCCTGTGTTTCATTTCATTTATTACAACTGTACTGTTTTCATTCTGCAAAAAAAAGGAAACTGAAGCCAATAAAGTCCTGGCCAAGATCACACAGTTCGTTAAATGGCAGAGCTGGGGCTGAATGCACGTTGGCACGGACCACTTTCAACCCTTTGTCAATCACGTATTTTACGGGGCGTTCTATAGGAAGGAATGACTTCCCTAGGCTACCTGGAACATGCCTCCGGGAATGTCACAACTGGGATGTCATTTGGAGGGCGCAGAATTAACAAAGTTACTATTTCTGTCACACCCCAAATTCAGTCCTCGCTCTGCCCTGGCCCACCTCGTGCTAAGACCTCCCTGATGTCTAGAGACCACATCCTTGGAAGAAGTGACACCTTGGCCGCCTTCCCCCTAAGGAGTATCTGAGCGCCAAGCGGCCGCCCTCCAATCAAGGCGCCAGAGGTTTCACTTCCGGGTCGCCTCCGCCAAGGCCTCCAAGGGTCACCCGCAGCAGCCACCCAGGAGCTGTAAGGCTTCCACACAGATCCCGTCCCGCGCTGCTGTGTCAGCACGTCTCCGTGACGTCATCTGCCGCCGCCACTACCTATGATGTCTTGGAGTCCTCTGTGGTCCTGTCCGACTGCTGGTCTACTCGGCGGCAGTGGGCGCAGGGGGCAGAGTGGAAGGCAAGAAAGGATGGCAGGGCGTCCGAAGGGGAAGGCGGGCGAGCACCCAGCACAGCCTGCGGTGGCCAGAGCGCGCCCGCCTCAGCGCCAAGCGGAGCTAGTTACCGGCTAGCGGCTTCTCTGGCAACCGACGCCCCGTCCCTTCCGGCTCCCGCTCCGGCGTAGCTGGTTGGCCCAGGCTGCTGAGCGCGAACGCCGCACCCGCTGCGATTGGTCAGAGCGAGGGGGCGTGGCAGGCGGGGCGCTTTGTCTCTGCGCTGGTTTCTCTGGTGAAGTTTAAGCTTCTGATTTATGAAAACCGTAGCTTGTGTGCGTAGTTACCGACAGCCTCAACCCCTCTCAACTGGGCCGAGGAATAACGTCAATTCCGAGTCTTCCGGCGCTCAGCCTGGAAGTGTTCCACCCTTGCTTTCACCGGGAGGTTTGAAAGAGCCAAGACGACATGATTAGAGAAAAATTCATTTTCAATGTATGGCCTTCCCTGGCATCTGGGAGTTTTCTCTTAAATGAGAGAGTCGGATGGAGTTCAGTAACGTACCGTGCACGTCCCAATTCTTTATATAAAGCTGATTATGTTCTATAAGCTGCCGAACAAGCAAAGCAAATCTTACTTGGACACACAAAACTTACTGCCCCTGCTTTGTTACCTGCTAGGAGTCGTAAACCGACGTGTTTAGTTCATAAATAGACCATCCATCAACTGAACAGCTTACCCGTGCATTCTTCTATTAGATGTTGATCACACTAGAAGGGATTTCCTATGACTACCCCCAGCACTCTTGATTGCCCACAGTTTCATGAGTGTTAAAAACATAATGGACACTTATTTGCTCTGTGCAAATTTCAGAAAGTTCTGGATACTGACTTAAATATCTGACATATTCTGACCTTGATAAGCCAAGTAGCTTCTCTGGACCTGTTTTCTCTGCTCAGAAAACAAAGAATAGAGCCTAGCAGCATTGGGGTAAATAATGTGAACAATGTCTGTCCTTCACAGTGCTAAACTAGGATTCTAGGTGACCTTGCTAACTTGTCATAATTGGAGGGATAACTAAACAGAAGTTAGGCTCTGTTTAAGAAAACTGCTTGATTAGATTGCATTGGTGAGAAGTAACCACCTTTATAAAACAAGAAGCAACTTCACAAAACCTAGTCCAATATGATATGTGAGTATTGTATTTTGATTAACTATTTTTAGCTGAGTTTTCCAAGTCAAGTAAATGTGGCATCCCTTATCTAAGGCTGCTGAAGTCAAGTGAATTTCAGGAACTGAATTCAGGTCTTCAGATTTGGTGGCAAGCAATTTTATCTGCTCAGCCATCTCACAGGACCTAGTAAATTTTTTGGTGAGAAGATTTCTTTTGTTGTTAAGATCTCATACATCCCAGGCCTCATACTGGTCATGTAGCCTAGGATGGCTTTGAACCGTTGAGCCTCCTGCCTCCACTTCCCAAGTGCTAGGATTGCAGGCATGTGCCACCATGACCATCAGACAGGAATTTTTTTTTTATTCCATTACTGTTTAAATAGAAAAAAATAATTTATTCAGCCCATCACAAGACTCCAGTTTCCAAAAACATATTTCCTTAGGACTCATTTCCCACTCTGAACTGCTGTTCTTTCAAAAGTACTTTTGTTTTCTGTTGCTGTTATGACAATAATTTAAAGCAACATCCATTTTATCTGTTCATTATTGTTTGGTTCTAAAACTCCCTCTGTATAGTGACAGCTGGGATTTTATCAGAGCAACTGGAGTGCGGCTAAGGATAAAATATGACTTTACTTACATATCTGGTAACTTGGTCGTATCAATCTGGAGTCAAGGAACTCCCCCAAACTGTCCATGTGGCCAGCATAAGTTGCTTTTTATGGCAGCTCCATTCTAAGAGCAACTGTCCCAGGCAGCAAAGAAAGGAGCTGCAGGTCTGATCATGCAGAAGGCTGCATATTAGTAGCTTGCTCCTTTTTATTGCTGGGTGATATTCAATTGTATGAATGAACATACCAAAGTTGACTAGGACATCAGTTCTGTTGATAGACATTGAAGCTGCTTGAGACTTTTAGATATTATAAACAAGGCTGCTATTCATAATGACATTTATTTACTTATTTATTAATTTTTGTTTTTTTGAGACAGGGTCTCAAAAACTCACTATGAGTTCCAGGGTCCTGGGACTCCTATGTAGGCTAGACTGGTCTCAGTCTCACAGAGATCCACCTGCTTCTGCCTCCAGAGTCCTGGGATTAAAGGCATGTACCACCATGGCCAGCGAATGATATTCTTTTAAAAAGTGTTTTATGAACATATGTTTTCTTTTTCCTTACCTAGGAGTAGAATTGCTCCTCATAAAGTATATGTATATTTAGCTATATAAGAAATGGCAGTGCCCATCTCTAAAGCGCTTGTACCAACAGTCAGTAGTAAAAGAGGGTTCTAGTTGCTTCACCTTCTTGTCAGCATTTTTTATAGACTTCTTTTTTATTTTAGCTGTTCCAGGATGAGATAGCATTTCAATATGGTTTTTATTTTCTTTTCTCCCCTAACTAGTGATATTCATCACCTCTTAATAGTTTCATAGTTATGTATATTGGTATATCTTTTATGAAATGTTGTTTGTTCTTTTTGCCCATAATTTTATTCCTTTCCTTTTATTATTGGTTTGTAAGAGTTCTTTATATATTCTTAAAATATCTTTTGTCATGTGTCTATATCTTGTCTACTCATTATATTTTTAAGATTTCATTTTTTAATTATCTGTATATATGTGCATCTATATGTTGGTATACATGTGAGTGGAGTCCAGAGAACTGGAATCCCCCAGGAGCTAGAGTTACAGGACAACATGGTTGCTGAGAATTGAGGTCCTCTGGAAGAGCAACAAGTGTACTTAACCACTGAGTCATCTCTCCAGCCCAACCTACTCATTATCTTAAAATCTTTTTGATGAGAAGAAAAATTTGTCTTGATACAATCTAATTTATGTGTTCTTTTTTTGTTGCATTTATTTGTTTTTGCAAAGATGAGGGTGTGAGGTGGAGGTCAGAGAACAACTTTCAGGAGTCAGTTATCTCCTTCCATCATGTGGGTCCTGGGGATTGAATTCAAGACATCAGCCTTGTCAGTAGGTGCCCTTACCTGCTGAGCCATCTCTCTAGCCCCCATCTTTCTTTTTTTAGCTCAGTGCTTCCACTTTGTATTTGTTACTTTTCTGTTGCTGTGATAGAAACATCACGACCAAGGGAACTTCTAAAAGGAAGAGTTTATTTAGTTTACGGTTCAAAAGGGGCAAGAGTCCATCATGGTGGGGAGGCCTGGCAGCTGAGGTGGCAGAAGCTAAGTGCTCACATCTTCAAGCAGGCACAGAAAGCAGAGCTCACAAGCTTAAAAACTCCCTGAGCCTGCCCCCAGTGAAGTGCTTCCTCCAGCATGGCCATGCCCTCTAAAACCTCCCAAAACAGCACTGCCAACTGGGGACAAAATGTCCAAATATTTGTAGCCTATGGAGGACATTCTTATTCAAACTACCACACACTTTTAAAAAGGAATTGTATGATACCTTCTAGAACTTATGTGATTCTAAGCTTTTATATATAAGTGTATGATTCATCCTGAATAGTTGGTTTATGTGGCATAAATATGGGTCAAGATTAACTTTGTTATATCTGTATACCCAATTGCTCCACCATCATTGATTTAAAACTTTTCTTTCATTGGATCAACGTAATGATTTGTTGATAGTGACTATTCTATATGAACATCTTGAGAAAAAAAAAATGTTCTTCCAGAAAGCAATCAAAAAGGGAATGGTTATTGTAGTAGGCAACTGACAGTGCCGATCACACAGATGCAACACACCAGAGAAAGATCATAAATCATATGGATCAATACCTCCTAAACTCTTAATGTAGTCTAAACATAGTTTAAATCAAAGCTTCTTAAGCTGTAGGTTACATAGCTGAATGTATGGGTCACAGAAAGTCTAGAAATAGTAAAAGGCTTTGAATGTGCAACAACCAAACCCTAATTCAGAATCAAATGTATAATGGATTTCAGGTGCAATTTTTACTGTACCTACAAAATTTTCTTTTCATTAAACATAGTAGTTTAGTTATGAAAAGCAAAGACGTTTAGTATTTTCCTACCACTATTTCTCAGCATGTATCAAATTAATATATCTCTGGATTGTATTGTTACACAAGCACATCCATCTCATTAGTATGCAGATTTGCTATCATCTTTAGTAAATGCCAAATCATGTTGGGTGTGGTGGTGTGCATCTTTAATCCCAGCCCTCAGCCCTCGGGAGGCAGAGGCAGCCGAATCTCCGCAAGATCGAGGCCAGTCTGGTCCACATACTGACTTCTAGGCAGGCTGGGACTAGGGAGACCCTATCAATAAATAAATATGCCAAATTATATGTATACCAAAGAATTGTTTTCAAATAAATGTCTTTATGATTGTATCAGTATTGATTTTTATAACTATTTTATAGATCTATGTATCCCAGACCATGTAAAACTTTTTCAGGAAAAAAAGGCATCATGAGTGAAAAGGTTTAAGAAACCCTGAATTTAGTCACTACATGTCCTGCTTAATTATTATACCAGTTTTTATATGTGTAGACACTAAGGCACAGAGATGTTTAATAACTTATCTAAATCCGCCCAACCAGAGGCATAGGTAGTTCAACTTCAGAGCCCAATCCTAAATCCATTTAACCACTGCATCTACATGGTGATGATGGTCTAGGGATAGTAGGTGTCAGAACTTGGAATTAGACAGTGATGATTTTAAATATAATAAAATTTGAAAACCACTGCTCTAAATCACTTTTGTTGCATTCTGGAAAGGAGGTCAGTGTGAGTCAATTCCCTTTGTTGGGGATTTTCTCTGGAAAGTCAGACACCCACATACCTGTACCCTTTGAGCAGAAGAGGGAGCCCTAATCCAGAAGCCAGATCTTTCAGCTGGTTGGCTGCCTGTTCACATGGCTGGCTGAGTGAAATGAAGTATTAAGAACAACAAAAACAAATGAAAGAAAATTAAATTGACCCACTATTCCTTCTCAGGGAGATCGGAGGCAGCAGGAGAATCAGGCAAGGCCCCGAGGATCTGAGAGACACGTTGAAGGCAGGTCAATGCAGGAAGAAAACAGAAGTAAGGACTACGGGGCAATCTTGTGCTGCTTCTGTGTACTGCTCCCCAGGTCTCCCTAGTAAGGTTTCACCTCTTAAAAATTCTCCCTGGTTTATCCAGGAATAGCAAACTTCTGCCTCATAAGGCTCAGAGATCATTGCAGAAGAAGAGGTAGAAAGATTGTAAGAGCCACAAGTGGTAGGTGATCACACGGAAACAGAATTTTCCAGACGGCTGGTCATTTACATATGAACACACAGCAAAAGTGACAGCATGCCTAAATTCCATGCAAACTTAACCAGACAAAATCCCAGCATAGACATGGGGAAGTGGATAAGAAACCCCAA